ACAGCTTGCCCAGCCTTCCCATTCCAGAGCCCAGCACTCACCCATTGTACTGCAGATTTTGCAAGGGCAGGGCCCATTACTCCTTCCTCAGGGAAGTCCCCATGCCTGACAAAGGCCTGGCACAGCAATGATGCTCTCTCAGTATTGTTGACTCTTAAATGAACATTCGAATGAATGAAGGGTAATTTCTAGCCAAGAAGGCCTGGTATTATGGGTACCTTTGGGTGTAGTTGAGAATATGTGCTCTGGATTCAGGCAATACAAAGTTTGGATTTTGCCCTGCTTCTTAATAGATGCCTCATCTTAACTTCTTTCTGTCTCGCTTTCTCCATGTTTAACAGAGGAGTTTAATTAACCTATGGCATTAGCGTTGTGGTGAAGATGTACTAATGTGACATGGGTTAAACACTCATGGCAGTGTTTAACTGAAGTTTAGCTTGTAAGTAATGAATGCTTCTGGTGAGCACTGAAGATCCAAGTTTCCCAGGGCCTCAAATCTGAATTTCAAAGTCTTTCCAGTCATTGTCAGTGGAGAACTCAGATATGGATTGAGGTGTCTTGTGGTAGTAATAGCGTCTTCTCTCTGGGCATCCATCCATACACACTTCTTGGGGCCTCAAAACCCATTAAGCACTCAAGAATTCAATACTTCATGCATGTCCCAAAAAGGCTTGACTTTTGCTGGTTAGATTATAAATATCTCTTGTAGTACGGCTTCGCATTACCTAGCTACTCTGTTGCTTGGTCTTGGAGACTTGCCATTGTCACTTAGCTGAGCTCATGCTATCAGCAAAGACAAGCAAGAAGCAATGGCCTCTCCACAGGACATTGCCCTCCCACGGGCTAAAGGATCACACATCCTATGTGTAGGAGTGGAAAAATGATATCCCCAGCTTCTGAGGATGTCCAGCTGGAAATGTAACACTAGCATACACTCTCTGGTGCTCGATCTGTGTTTCTTAAGCACACAGCAGCTGTTGCTTGAGGAATGCACCTTTGCAGCTCATCTTTACCTGTACTGCAAGCGGTAATTTGTTAAATGCTCTGCAGAGAAGCTAGAGAAAATTTCCCAAATAAATTCAAACTAGAGGAGGGAAAGAGAAAGGGACTTTTTCTATGACTTATCTGCTGGCTTCATGGAGATGTGTGGACTTCATGTGGTCACAGTGCCACACAGTATGCATACCTGTAGTCCCAGATACTAGAGAGGCTTAGGCTGGAGGACCCCTGAAGCCCAGCAGTCAGACACCATGCTGGGCAATACAGCAAGACTTGTGTTTTAGCCAGTAATGGGTGGCACTGGGGACACAAACAAAATAAGGTCATAGGTTAGAGTGTGTGAGGCTCAGGAACAATTTTGTGACAGGAAAGCAGATGAGATCTGCAGAAGATTTGAAATCTTGTCCCATGGGACTTTGTTGATGCACCCAGCCAAGAAGCCTGTTCTTTTCTGCCCAGATGACAGACTTCATGGCAGCTGTCACCAAGCTTCTTCCATTGTAAATCAGGTCCATTGGATTGAGGCAAAAGGGTCACAACTTCAAGGTCAGCATGGGAAACTTGGCCTGATTCTGTCTCAAATTAAGAAGTGTATAAAAAATGGACCAAGAATGTAGCACAGTGGTAGAATACTTCTCTAGTGTGCAGCAGGTCCTGGATTCAAACTCCAGTCCAGAGGGAGATGGAGCAGAGCACCCACAGACTGTGTAGAATACACAGCTCTAGTAAGTGTGGGCACTAAAGCACAGGGAGAGCCAAGTGCAGAAATCACAAACTGCTGGAGGGCAAGAGAAGGCCAAGCTGGTATTACTGGAATACTGGGGTCATATCTTATGCTGACAAAGAATGAAACCCAAGATGGAAGAGGTAGCATGTAAGCAAATTTATTTAAAAGATAGGAAGCTGAGAAAGTAAAGCTCCCACTAGCTGGGAGATGGCCTTTTGAAAAAGGGACTTAGGCTGTTGTGTAAACAGTATGATCTCTACCCCATAGGAGACTGCATTCTTTTCAGCATCCAATCTATGTAGTGTTCATGTAGTACCCATGTAGGGCCCACATGCCCTTGGGCCAGTCACCAGCCTGATCATGCTATCGGGAGGTCCCAGAGAGCCAAAGAGTCCCTGGCAGATTTTTTGTAAGATCCTTGGAAGGTCAGGACTAGGTAGACTCCATTTTGGGGCCACTGTTTTTACTGTGTAATAGAATCCTGACTAAAGCCCCTCAGAGGGGCTGAGTGACTCCCACAGTGTGTGTGCTTAGAGGCCAGATCTCGCCTGGCCGCCAGTGCTAGGAATGGGAAATGGGTAAAAAAGATTCAGTAATCACAGTCAATGACATTTTAAGGCAGTACAGATGTTCCTTAATTTAAAGTGGAGTTACATCCCAGTTCCAGTACACTCATCAGATGTTGGAAATATTATGTCAAAAACACACAGTATGCACCAACCTACTGCACAGACCAGTTTAGCAGCAAGGGCACTGTGGGAGGTGCGGTTTCCATCCTCCATCACCAGGGGGCTGGAGCTGCAGCTTGTTGCCTCTGCCCAACATTGTGAACAGTACTGGCACCTACTGCGAGCCCCGGAACAGACAAATCCACAGGACAGTTTCTCCTGAATGCAAATCATTTTTATATTATTGCAAATTTGAAAAATTATGCATTAAATCATTATAAATTAGAGTCAGTCTGTATTTTTTAAAAACAAAGCTAGAAGTCATGAAGTACTCAACATTTTAATTAATTAATTAATTAATATAATTATTTTTGTTTTGGTTTGCTTTGTTTCATGATGAGATAGGGTCCTGTTCTGTAGCCCAGGCTGGCCTAGAACTCGTGAAAATCCTCATGCCTCAACCTCTCGAGTGCTGGGATTGTAGGCATACGCCACCATACCAGGCTGGCCTGCCCTAGATTTTAAATAATGACAAATTCTGCCTTGTATTTGTGTAACCTGGCCTCCTTTACCTCATCCTAATTCTAGCTCTGTTGAGTTTTACCTCAGCAACTGAGCAGCTTTTTGACGGAAACTTCTTATTCAGTCTCCAGTTGTGAGAGCCCCTATGGGTGGTAACTACTAGCTGGTTTCCTCTGCATTGGGATGGCCTGGACAATATCATTAATGCTCTGACACTTCTCTCACTGGGATAAATGAAGCATATACAACACACACACACCTATCATCCCTGGCAAGGGGAAGGGAATGTGGGAATGTGTGTGGGGACAAGGAGGTACACTGTGAATATCGGGAAGAGACAGTGTGGAGGACCATCTGGATGACTCTCCTGGAAAGAGCCATATCCCCATTTTGGCTAAACACAGCCCGTTTCCCTGTGTTCATATGCACAGAACTGGCTAGGACTTTCCTTATACCTTCAATTGGTTTTAAGCAATGCAAATGAGTCTGAAGTGCTGATATGCAGTCCTTGACACAAGGTGACAGGGCAGTATTTCCCAATCCCTGTAGCTCCCAAAACACATGTGAACCAGGTGGGAGGGAGAGCCATGCTCCACACTGTGGGCTCAGATCAGCCTCGAGATAAGAGGCTATGACTTCCCAGGGCATAAAAGATTACACATCAGAGCTGAAGTACCAAGCCCAAAACATTAGACACTACCTGGAACTGTGTTATGTAAATTACTCTTTTTGCAGATCCTTCTCTTTGCATATTGCAGAGGTGATTTCAGGCCTCCTACATAGCCCAGCTCACACACTCATGTACTTCCCACCATTCTCAAGTCACTCACCTCAAGCCACTCCCTTCAAGAATGGATGAAATCCGAGTTTCACTTTGGGTGAGGCCTTTGTTCTGATTAACTACCACCCTACTTGGATTCAGGGCCCCCTTTGTTTCTCACAACTATAAATATGTCTTAGTGTTTTATTCTTGCCATAGGTTGTACTGGAAGTGGTAGATTGGAATTAACTCACTGGAATTCTAATAACTTTTCCTTGGGATTATAAATATAAACTTCCCAGAGGGCACTACTGGTTTTATTTTTAATTTTGTATTTTTTGGTACCAGGCATCAAACTCAGGACCTTGCCAGGCAAACACTGTGCCACTGAGTTATATCCTTGGGCCTGCTACTGGTTTTATGCATTGAAAAACTGACTTGTGCTTAATTGTTGGCAAATAGTTTCATTTGTTTATGTTTGTCCACCTCCTTATCATCATTTGTTTATGTTTGTCCACCTCTTTATCAGCGCCATGTTGAAAATAGGAACCTTCATTCATTTGTACATTAGGCAAACATTAATCCCGCATTTATTCTGTGACAAGCCTGGTGCAGAGAGAACAGAGGTAAATTAAATAGGCCCTGATATGGAAGTGCTGCAAGCCTGGTGAGGAGGACAATTGTGGGTAAAATGATGCATGGGGGTGGAAGAGCTAGGCAGCATGTCTCCAGTGTAGACTAGAAACAACATGTGGGCCCTAGAATTAGGCATGAGAAAGAAGAGGAAAACATTTCAGGGAGCGGCATCTCTATGTGTGAGGCAATGACTCTTTTGTACCCTGTTTGCCAAGGAGTAACAGGGGCCATGCCCTCAGCGTGCTCTCTACAGACTCCTCCAAATTAGTCCACAGTCCATGGAAAAACAATGAGCCCTACATCCAAATATGGCTTCCTATAGAAGGGCCTCTCAGTCCTGTTTGGCTGGAGACCTTTGGGAGTGCATGTCCAGCAGCCTGCCAGTCCCTCCTGCAGCACAGATCACAACATCCATGTTGGTAGGGTTCTTTGCTGAACTCCCACACACTATCAGCTGTGCGATGCAGGTATGAGCCTGTCCTGTCCCCTGTCGTAGCGTCATGCTGATCATGGAGTGTTGCTCATGGTAAGTGCTCAGTAACATATTTACTTAGTGAATGAATAAATGAATGAAGATGAAAGTAACAAAGTTGAGGACTCAAGTCACTTGGCACCTAGATTTGTTTATATTTCTTTTTTATTATTTTAATAGTATTTAATGTGTAGATTTTCAATATAATGTGTCTAATAAATACTTTTTCAAAATTTTATTTTTAGTTCACACATAATTGTACATATTTATGGGGTACAGTGTGATAATTTGATACATGTACACAGTGTATAATGAATAAATATGGACAATTAACCTTTTCATTTCCTTAAACATTTATCATTTCTTGTGCTTGGAATCTTCAATCCGCTTTCATCTTATTTTTTTAATAAAATATATTTAAAATTTTTTTTCTAAAACAACAGTTTATATCTTACATATACAGAAGGAGTGGCCTGATTTTTTTATTATACATTTTTAAGACTATATGCTTGCAGTACATAATGATTACATTTATTGTGGGGAGTGTGTACATGTATATACCACATTTTCAATCATTCTGTCACCTTTTCTTCCCATTCCTCCCTGCTCATTCTTGATCCCCTTCTCATTTGAAAAAGCTCTATTTCCCTTTTTCCTTTCCATTCTTTAATTTTTTCCTTCCTTCCATCTTTTTTTCCTCTTCCCATTTGTTCTTCCTGCTTCCCATTATCTATCCTTTATTTCAATAAATTTAAATATTGCACGATTTCTCTTATATACAAGTTTTCCCTAAACTATCTACTGCATTATAGAATGCAAGGAATAATTCCTCTTGTATACCTGTATTTTGGTACACATTACCTACCTCACGTATATATGATTTACAAGGTAGACTTACAATGGCCACTTGCAGAGTTGAGTATGGAAGAATGCAAAATGGCCATCTGCACGCCAGGGATCTGAAGACTGAGTCAAAAATCCAGGGCCTGGAGCGCAATGCGGAGTCCATGCATGTCCGTGTCAGGAACCAGAAGGGTGGTAGAAGGTTGAGGGGTCCACACTGGAAGACTGAAGAGTATGTGCAGGAGGCCTGGAGACAAACATCCAAAGATGATGGTGAATATGGAGCTCTTCCAGCTCTGTATTTGTCTCTGTCTATCTGTCAATCTCTGTTATTTTGACATCTAAAAATTTGTTACTCTAAATCACAGGAATCAAAAGGATTCTTTATTAGTAAAATTGTGCCTCATAAAAAATGCTGAGGGAAGCAAGTGCCTCCGGGAGTACTGTAAGTTGGCATAATATTGTCGTGGGCATCACAGGCTTGCTTTAGATTCCATCCTATGTGTGGTTCGAGTACCAAGCAATCCGACGTTCATTCCAAAGTGACTGTGCGAGGCCCTATCTTATAGAATCTACATCCCCTTGCTAAGTACGTGTTGCTATTCCCGTCTTATGGATGAGAACATTAGGGCTTGAAGACTTTAAGTTATGAGAAAATGAAAAGTCTGGAATTTGAACTCTTGTCCATATGACACTGTCTCCTTAAGCACACACTGGGAAAAAGAACTATAGTCACCATTGGCTTTATCTTTCTGTACCTGCAGATCGCCAAAGTGAGCTAACATACAATGATATATTTAGATCATTAAACTCTCTCCAAGCTACCTTGAAAATGTGGAGCTCTTGAGAAATTACCGTGTTTTTCTCATATCAGATCATGCCATTATCAAGAGAAATTTGATGTTTTCAAATACTGGGATTGTTGGGGATGCTGGAGAAAGGAGATGCTATTTGGGCAAGTTTTCAGACTGAGAGATCTCAGACCAGGGAGCAGAAATGGAGGAACTGTGTACTCCCTTTTAAGACCTTTGGCTGCTCTTCATCACGACCTTCCTCTTCTTCTTTCCCACCAGCTTCACTCTCATCATCGCAAGCACCACCATCATCCTCACAGCCACCATTTTAACCACTATTGTCGCAGCACCGCCATCATTACTGTCCCTGCTGTTACCATGGTCACCATCATTATCATGCGACCCTCCCCCCAACTGTCTCTAGTGGAGAAAAACATAGGCTTCCCTATTTCATGTTTTTCATGGACACTACTGATCACTACCACCACTAGCATCCCAGAGAACCACATGGCTCTTTCCATCATCACACTTTTGGGACTGTGAGATAGATAACAGACTATGTCAACAAAAACAGAGCCGTAATTCCTCATTCTAAACTTTGCAAAAGAATGGTCATATCCCAAATGTGAAAACTTCAGGGTCCCTTTAAAATGAACACAGATATGAAGCTAAACACTTTTAACATTTAGAAATTCTATTAGTACATGTTGGCAGTACATGCAGTTTACAATCACCTTGGGGAGTGGGTGCCGGTACATTCCACACCTTGTTTCTTTTCTAATCCCCTTATCCTTCCCTCCTTCTTCCCTCCCTCCTCTGCTAATTCTCCTATACTGGTTTCCATTGCTGTTGATATTATTTATCTTAGCTCATATTAAGACATACAATGTTTGCATTCATTGAGAAAGGAAACTAAACTTTATTCCTGCATTGTTGGTGTGATCCCTGGAGCTGGTTACCAGGTTAGAATAATGATCTGGCAACCCATGTCATGGTACCCAGCCATGGTGTCTACATGTGTCCCTGCACAAATGACCTAAGCAGGAGCTGAGACCCTATGCTGGGGGACACGCAGAAGCTGCTTCACATACAACACTTAGGAGTGTAGATCTGTAGCATAGGCCTTCCCCCACAATGGGAAATGCCAGGATTAAGAACCAGCTGAGAAGCAAAGAGAAGGGCCAGGTAGCCAGTCAGAAGACTTTTTTGGAAGCTCAACAGTGACTTCAGCAACAGCTCTTCTCCTCAGCTCCCTAATTATGCCTTTGCTGGGAAGGTCTAGGAAGGCCCTGGAGGGCCTCTGGGCTGGCAACCATCTCTGCTTAGGTAACTACAATGTGCAAATAAGCTCCCAGGGGCTACAGACCTGTAAACAGCTCTGTAGCTGCCACTCAGACACAAACTGGGGATCAGTGGAATTGCCTTCAGATCTCTGAGACCAGGGAGGGGCTTGGCAGGGCCTTGTTCCAGGTGAAGAAAATGAGGAGGCTTCCTCACATGCTGGGGGGGCCCAAGGACAAGTAGTGTAGAAGAGGTGAACCCAAAGAGCAGATCAGTGTGGAAGCGGATGCATCATCAATATGAAGCCTGGATGGCTTCATTAAATACACATTTGCTGACAAAGTGAAAGAGAGTGAATTGGGAGGGACTAAAGAAGAGGGGAAGGAGAGAAGGCTGAGGTTGCACAATGAGCCAAAGGAATCAGTCCAGTATCTTCCAAGGAGTTTATTGTTGTAAGGGGAAAGGGGCCAACATTCTTGTCTGCCCCGTCACAAATTACAATTCAAAATGAGTAGCTGACTATGACTGTACAACATGATGTGTTAATATATTCAATACCACCAAACTGTACATGCAAAGTGGCTCAGATGGCAAATTTAATGTTGGACATATTTTACCACAATGCAAAAAATAATTGAGAAAAAGAAGTTAAATAGGGCTAGAAAAAAAATCCCAAGATAGTGGAGCATTTTTATCAATTAAATTGAATAATGAAGATGAATTCTCACTGGGAATGTGCATGAGGAAAACACTTGGCCAGAGCTGAGGCCATGTGTCTCCAGTTTGGCATTAACCAAGTTTCCAATTAACCAAGTTAGTAGGAAAATGCCTTACATGTGATTGATAGACATCTCTCTTTTCTATGAATTATTTTGGCTTTATATCGTGGTGGCTTTTTGTCTTTTGTTTCTCAGTACTAGAAATTGAAACCAGGGCTCACACTAAGCTATATTCCCAACCTTTTTTTACTTTTTATTTTGAGGCAGTTCTTACTAAACTGCCCAAACGGGCTCAAACTCCCATTCTCCTTCCTTGTCCTCTCAAAGGTGCTAGGATTACAGTTATCCAGCACAACAGCTAGCTTGGTTTTGTATCTTGAGTTCCCCTTGTGGGTATAGTGCATGTGACACTTGGTCCCATATCTTTCCTCACGTTTCCTTGACATTTCCAATCCTGCAAGAAATAAGTCATGTCTCTCTGCATCACAGTTTCTTTTGAAAGATGCCTTCTAGTAGGTATGGTGTTATAGGCCTGTAACCCCAGTTATTTGGGAGCCTAATGCAGGAGGATCACAAGTTTGAGGTTACCCTTTGATGACTTAGTGTCTCAAAATTAAAAAGTAAAAAGAACTAAGACTGTAGTACCATATTCCCTGAGTTCAATTTTCAGTACAGAGGAAAAAAAAAAAAAAAAAAAAAAAAACGATGAAGGAGAAGAGGAAGAGGAAGAAGAAGAGAAGGAGAGGGAACGGAGGGAGGTGTGTGTGTGTGTGTAATTATTCTTTTTCCAGTGGAACACCATGAAGAATATACTGGGCTCATGAATCTGGAGGCTGCTAAGTCCAAGAGCAGGCTCTGTAAGCACTTAGGTCTTGTGAGGGCTTCCTCTGTGCCATAGTGAGATAGAACAATCACGCTAAGCTGGGTCTTTCTTCCACTTCTTATAAAGTCATAATATAGGCTTCAACCTAATGACCTCACCTAATCTTAACCACCTCACATAATTCCACTCCCAAATACCACTGCCTATGAATTTGGGGATCAAGTTTTCAACACATAAACCTTTGGAGGACACTTTCAAATCTTAACAACTTCTAAATGTTGCCCTCCAAAAGATCTTTTTTCCCGGTTTGGCAGCCTTCCTGCTTAGCATTTTATTTTCTGTTATTAGCAGTTAAGCCTGTAGAGGGAAAGAATAGCAGGTCTTTTTGACTCAGGAAAAATGAGGCTGATGCTAGTGAGGGACAAAAAAGAAGCTTACAGAGAATCCATAATTATCATTTACCTTCTTATCAGTTTTCCAGAACGACTTCTTTTTACTTTAACAATTTACAGTGATCTGTTATCTTGTTTTAAATGGGCACATCATAAGGTTGACAATAAACCACAAAACTCATCTTTTCACTGACTTCATCACAATGCCACAGATGTGTTCCCACAGGAAAAGAAACCCCTTCGCTAATCAGAGATGAGAATTCATTCCGGGAAGAGGTTAAGCAGTGGCCAGTTCTGCGGCAAATATGATAACCTGTTATTCCAGCAAGATTCTATCTGCCTAGAATCAAATGATGGTGGGATAGTGGTGAATGACATAATGGAAAGAGCAGAGGATTTGGAGTGAATCATGTTTGGATTCCAGCTCTACTTCTCAAAGCTATTATAATGTTCAGTAAACTAGTTAAACACTGAACTTCAGCTGCCATCCCTATGGAGAGACAATAGTCATGCTCATCGGGTTATAATGCAGCTTGCATGAGGCAATGTTGTAAAGTCCTTGGTATATCATAGGTCCTTGTGAGTAGTGGCTACTTTACTGCCAGCTCTCTTTCCCTTAACGATAAGAACCAACTAAAATCTACTAATGGTCTATTGTATGCTCCTCCCAGCTATAAGCTCTCTACATACCAATAACGAATCCTATGTACCAAGTACATGAAATGTGACTGACAGGTGCCTATAGCTTCACTGATTATTGCTTTGCACAGTATCACTGTCCAGATGAACGATGATATCTCCAATTTTCATACAACTCCTTTTTGAAGAGCTTGAGCCCAACCCAAGGTTCTCTGCTGCTGATTCCTAGGTCATGGGGTCATTTGCATTCTTTGTATTTAGGATCACCACATTTAACAAATAAAGCTACAAGAAGCTTAGTTAAATTTGAATTTCAGATAAAAAGTGAGAAAATTTTAGTATAAGTATGTACCATGCAATCTTTACATTAAAAAGATAATCAGTGTCCTGTAGTTAGTCTGACAAGCCTACTTGAACTTCACTTACAGCATTCTCCTTGTCCAATTTGGAATGAGCACATCTGGAAACCTCAGATGATCCCTTCCACTTCTGATAAATGCCACCTTCCCTAAGTGTGTCTGGGAACATTCTTTAATTCAAAGGCTTTAAGTATTCATGCAGCTGGATTTGGAATAGCCATACATGCATTTTTCTTAAACATGAAAATCTATGCATGTATTTCTGCTGAGATCTGAAAATATTTTACTTAGTGTTGCTATTCAGTAAGCCCTTTATCCAGTTTTAACTTGTTCTGATTGGCAAGGGTTTGAAGTATTTAATTTTTAACACAGTTCCTTTTCTTTCGATTAGCTTTTTAATGTAATTGTCTATGAGTCAATAGTTTCAGAATATTTGTTTTCAATTTGATGAGAATGGTATAGGACTATAAAATAGTCTACTGATTTTCTTTGTCCTCAGTGATGCCTTTGCTTTTATTGTTCTTTCTTAATACTACAAACTTTGGCTTCCTGCACGTTAAATATAAGGCCCGAATGGGTGCTAATCTGATGGGCACTCTTCCTGAAAATGGTTACAGAAACACTGATGATGGAGAGGAGGGATTAAAGAAGGGAAGAGCATCTAGGAAATATGAGGCCAAGTGAGAGCAGTCATACTTGAACCTGATGACCACAGCAACTCTGCTTGGGGAGGGAGGCTACAGAAGGTTAGGCTGGCTCCTCAGCTGTGCTTGAGAGGGCTCGTGGAGAGGGTTAGAACAGCTTGCTCCACCACGAGCATCTCATGGTCTCCAGATGATCCCATTTGCTTCTTTTCTGGAAGAAACAAGAAGAGAAGAATACCTGTATCCAAGTTCCCAGTAAGTCATGGACTTATATAAAGGAAAACTTTCATAAAGCACACAACCCCAGGCAATAGGGAAACTTTGGACAAATCCATAGCATATCCTTTCTATCAGACTTTCTGTTCCTTTCATTTTTAAAATTCTACTTCTTAGGTTTGTACAGTGCCTATGGTGTACTTGGTCATGACACAGCTGTGAGTCACTGCCAATCTGATATTCTACTCTGCAGTCTGTTAAATGTTCCTATTCTGAGGACTGAATGATCATTTTTTTAAAGATTTCTTTGCTTCTGTCATCAGCACCAGCAGTTGTCATTCTTGTGGCATCACTTTCCACAAAGAAATGTGATTTTGTGTCATTCACAACTTTCAACACGAGCAACAGCAAATAGATGAAAATAGCCATGTAAAGTGATGTCGATCTCATGAGCTGCTTCTCTTGCTGACGCTGACTACAGGGCCCGCACCATAAACTAGTTTCTGAATAGTACTTGTTATGCAGATAGCACCGGAAATGGAAATCACTATCAATTATAGATCTTTATCCAAACTAGCTAACATTAAAGGTAAGATTGTGCAGTGGCATTGCTTTGCATAGTTATATAGCCCTGACTTGTCTGGGACTAACCATGTGCTCAATGGTTTAGTCATTTTCCCAGTGTTAGGAGAAAGGTAAAAGGTTGAGGCTGTGGTTAGATAACCAGGCTAATCTTTCTACCATTACCAGGTCTAATCTGGGTCAAGTGCTGCACATCACACTTTGTACTGAGGTTAGGGCTAACTTCCCAGGTTTGGATCCTGGCTCTTCCATTTGTTAGCTGACCCTGAAAAGGTTGCTTCATCCTTTTATGATTCAATGTCCTCATCTATAAAATAGGATAAAACAGTATATAAATCATAGAGTTGTGATGAGGACTAAAGGAGCTAATATTTTTCAAGGGCTTATAATGCAGCCTGGCATATATATGAAATAAATAATATGCAGACTCATACATTCACATAAACATATATGTGTATACATGTGAATGCACATGTATGTTGTATCTGCTTCACAGTCAGTTTAGGTACGAATGTGGAGACTCACGGGGAGTTGCAATAGAGAAAATGCAGGAACATTTATAGGAGGTCTCTTGCAGGTGAGAGCACGTCTGCACTGTTTCCCCTAGACCCAAACAGATGACGGTCAGTCTTAGTCTGGGGCACATGTACAAGTGAGTCTGTACAAGTGACAAAGCCCTCTTTATCACCTGTAGAGGGCTTGGCTGCTGCTATGGTGAACAATCAGTAAAACCTAGGCCAACACAGTGACTCAGAGGTTAATGGATCGGAGTTTCTGAGTCTGTTTGTGGTTAAATAACTCTAAGTCTCTGAAATGTAGCCATCTCTAAGAAAGAGGCACGAGCAGGGCTGCAGGAGGCTGCTGGGGAATAAGAATAGAAGGAATTTCCTTCACTAAGAGAAATATGAAGAGGCAAGGAGTAATTCCCATAATTGATGACCTGCAGACCTAAGATTCCAGGTTAGAGCCTGATTTTAGAGCCTGTGTCTGAAGGTCCGGGCCTTCATTGTGATGCATCAGGAAGCCATCTCTGCAGGCTTCACTGTAGCAGGGGCCAGAGCTCCCCTAGACCCTGTGGGACAGGCATCTCAGTGCTCAGGTCTCCTCTCTGCGTTTCTGGGAAGGCAATAGGGGAGCAGAGCTGCAGGGGAGAGAAGTGTTCTTCACTATTGGGGGATGATGTGAGGGCTGTGATTTGAGCTAAGAGCTTTTAAATCTAAAAAGTTAGAATTAAGGGATTTATCAAATCAGCTCAAGAATCTGGGGTGCAGAATCCCGGGTCTGAGTGCTAGGAATGTGAGGAGCTAAGAGATAAGAAATATGAGATAGGGGCTGGGGATTTAGCTTAGCGGCATAAGCACCTGCCTTGCAAGCAGGCGGTTGTGAGTTCAATCCCCGGTACCGATAAAAAGGAAAAAGACCAAAAACAAAACAAAACAAGAAATATGAGATAAAAGTGGCCTTTATTTTAAGAATGTAGAGAGAGACTCCATGACCTCCGGGGTCTGGCATTCTCTCTGCCAGACACGTGGTGTGGGGGCATACATGTAGCTTAGGTTTGGGGTGGAGCCTAAGGGCCATTACTGATGCACAGGTAGCCCATTGGAATTTGTTTCCCACCACAGGTAAATTGCTTAGGGGTGGGAAAAGTGACCTCAAGATACAGCCCCTTGGTTGGGTCTCCCAGCCTGCCACCGCTGCAGCTTCCCATCTAGGGCAAAATCCTTTCAAACATTAGATTTCAAAAACAAGACAGGAGGAAATCCCTCACACAGCTGACACAATGCACACCGCCATCCTCCAGGTAGATGCCCAGACCACCAGCCCACGCCCGCAGAGTCAACCAAACAGTACAAGCATCGAGCTGTTCCCTTCCCCTCAGTTGCTAACATCTCAACCTGGGTACTCTGAATGGAGGGTGGGGGGCGCCTGAATGATTTTTCAGCCCGCATACTGGTTGGCTCCTGAGAAGGCATAGTTTCTCTTCTGGCTGGGGCTCTAGAGATTATTTTCAACATTTATTTTTAATAGTGTAAGTATTCATAACGTATTAGACTTTAAAAATAAAAAGGACCTACGGATGTAGCTCAGTGGCATAAGCGCTGCCTGACAAGTGCAAGATCCTGAGTTCAATTCCTGGTACAAAAAAAAAAAAAAAAAAAAAAAAAAAAAAAAGGAGACAGGGTCTTACTAAGACCTGGGCTAAGCTGTCCAGGCTGCGCTCACATTTGTGATCCTCTCTGCTTTCTGGAGGGCCACCATGCCTGGCTCCTTAACTTTTCAAGTTATAGTAAGTGCTGTTGTTGACTGCCATTCAATGGAAAGGCAGGCTTGTGAAAAGTAAAATACTACGGTGTGTCCTCATCCACCTTATTCATCAGATCTGGCACTGTGCGACTATTGGCTCTTTCTTCCCTGAAGTCAAAATGACCATGAAAAGTGAATGTTCTGAGTTAGTTTAGGAAGCTGAGGCAGCCTCAGTACAACTGCAGATGCTCTTATAAAGGAGGACGTCCAGAACCGCTTCAGAAAGGGGCAAGACGGATGGATGGGCTAAGTGTGTTGCTCAAAGGGAGGAGGATTAACAGCAACGTGTCTTTCGCTACAATAAATGATTAAAATTTAAACACTCACTGTACTTTTTGATCACACCTCATGTTTTGAAGTGTACTTGCAGTTTGTGATGGATCCACCCTGTCAGCTTCTGGGGTAGAGTGGAAATTTGCCACTCCCTGCCGCTGCCGCATCCCAGTGTCCTCCAAGCCTTTGAAGCAGAGTAGCTGCTGGAGATGCCCTCAGGCCACACACACACACACACACACACACACACACATACACGCACCCCTGTGCTTTGGGATCTCTGGCCATGGAACCCCACCTCATCCTCTCAAGAGCACACAGGTGACCTCCAGGGCTGTTTGGTTGTCGAGCTGTTCCCAGAAGGGAGAGGGGACAGAGGAATGGGATCCTACTGGGCCTGCCCAGCTGCCCCAGAATGGCATAGCTCACGTATCCAGCAGATGACTTGCAGCTGCGAAGCATGTGTTGTGGAAACAATTGCAGATGGCAGGCATCCACCCTAGCTGCCTGCTCTCCTTAGTCTTTTCCAGGGGGAGGGCAGGCTATGAAACAGATTGTATTTATAGTTTTTGCCATAAGTGCGCCAAGTCCCAGGCAGCCACTGTCTAACTGACCATCTTTGAATATTCTTGAGCATGAATAGACTGGCTAGGAGAAATGAACAAGATCCTCTAAGGGGCTGAGGCCCTTGTGGCCGGCCCTGAGCCCTGGAGCCCTTCCTTGAGCTCTCATGGTTCACCTGAAAGTTGTCCATTCTCCCCACCACAAAGTCATTTCTCAACCTATGCTTAGTTCACTGATACAAGTCCTGCCCTGCTCAACTCAGGACCAGCTGGCATGCACCTAAGGACCCCAGGCTGGGAAATGCTCTTTACTCTAGATGTCTCCACACTGGGTTCCTTCCCTGTTGGGGACCACACAGTCACAATGGCAAATTTGCATACTTCCCTAAGGAATAAATAGAGGCTTGGTATTATTGGTATCCGTCTTTTGAGATTTTTTATTAACTCAAAATTTCATTAGCTCCTTAGGGATAGCCCATCCTCTCCTGCACACTAAGACTAAACTAAAACCACTAAGATTAAAAAACACTTCAGGACTGGGGGTTTAGCTCAGCAGCATAAGCACTGGTCTGGCAAGTGTGAGGTTATGAGTTCAATCCCAGGTACAATAACAAAACAAAACAACAACAACAACAAATCCCCAACACTCCAGGGCAAGATCCTTGGTAGGGGATCATCTCAGCCCTCTTGAGTCATCCTAAGACTATCTGTCACCCACTAAGTCATGGGCCTTGAGTCTTCCACTAGGCTCTCCTATCGTTATGTATACCTAACAAATAGTGGCTGGCTCGGAGTGTCTTGGTCTCTGCCCATCCTGAGGCATTGACCTCCCAGCCCTCCTTCATGTATTACTAAATTTGTCTCTGTTTCTTATTTCACCATTTTACCTTACCTCTCTTACAGGCAGCTGGGGACCTTGGCCAGATCCCTGATACTTCCCCACCTGCCATAGTGTGGCCCTGGATGCCCCTCTTCTCAGCATCCCGCTGACATTGGAACTCTGCAGGTGACCCCAGTGCTACACTTCTGTGGTGCTGCAAAAGGAAAAAGAGCAGGTGAGAAGAGCAGGTGGGAAGAGAAAACTGAGCAACTGTCCCTGTGCAAGAATCTTAAAAGAGATGCCCAAGGACAATCACTGAGCCATGTCTATAGAACAAAAAATTGGAAATTAATCAAAAGCCCATCAATAGGGAAATGGTTGAATAAATAATGGAGTACATCCACACAATGGAATATTATACAGCTGTAAAAGGGAGTGGGAAATAATTCTAGATATTGTTTTGCCATTGTCTGAAGTCTGTATCAACTTCAGTTGGAAAAATGTATCTTAGTTTGTGCGAAAGAAGATGTGTGTGATGGCACACACTTGTAATCCCAATACTGTGGGAGGCCAAAGCAGGGGAACTGAAAGTTGACTCCAGCCTGGGCAGTTAATGACTTAATTAGCAAAATTCTGCCTCAAAATAAATAAAAAATAACCTGGGAATGTAGTTCAGTGCGAAGTATCTGGGTTCAATTCTCAGTATTCCAAAAATAAAAAAAGGAAGGGCTGTAAATGCACATATTTGCTTATATTTTGGTGGAAACATAAATCATAGAATTAAATGACCTAAACAGAATCATAGAAAATAAAATCATAGAATCAATGACCTAATTACAAGGTCATTGATATGGGAGTGAACAGGGTCGAGGGGTATTAGCTGTGAGTTAATACAGACTAAGCTGCAAGGCCCCTTACCCATAAGGACCCTTTTCAAGGTCTTAATGGAGCCCTAAGAATCATGAGTTTTTTACTTAAATAGGCATTGCAATAATGTAAGATTCCATAGATGCCTTTGGCAGGACCTGGCTTGCTGGAAGCACCCAAAAGGTGTTTCTTGAATGGATGCAGGAACAGAATATATTGCTGATAAATGAGAACCTCTAGTTTCACTGTTTGATCTTAGAACAACACAAAACAAACCTGCTTCCTCTTCCACACATCTCCTGCCCAGCTTTCAATATCTGAACGCAAAGGATTCCTTCTTCCAGTGGTCCCTCCAACTATTCCTAAAGACACAGCACCATGGGGCTGCTTTCAATTCTAATACTCTGAATGAGCTTCCATTTTTCTAGGACTGATAAGGGAACTGAAGCAGGTCCGTCACTTCAGAATCATCTTCAGGGTACAAATACTTAGGAAGTTAGCTGAGGAGGCTCATGCCTTAGTTTATGATCTTCAGAATTCATCTCAACATATCCACTTCTCTTATTTATCCATTTATTCATCTATGCATTAATTCAACATTAATTCTGTTCCATAATCTACCAGACACTACCTGTTCTTGGGCAGACAAAATAAAATAAGATCCATTTTGAGGATGAATATCTGAAAAACTTAGAAAACTGGAGCACCTGAGTGCGAAAAACTCGGAGATGTTGGTCCTGGTACTTTCTGCTGTGTGACTGGTGGGCACTCACCCTCTCTCAGCATTAGGTTCTCATTTGCAACATGGTGGTGTTAACATGTCCCAAAGGGCTGTGGTGAGGATGCTTGCTACAGTTTTGTAAAGCACAGGGCTGGTGTAGGAGTAGATCAGTTAGTGAATATTCCTCCCCGGCTGCAGGTCACACGGGGCGGCTGTGAGAATATGTGGGGAGTCTGGGGTGTGCTTGGTGGCAGAGGTCCAGGCCTGGGCATCTGAGCCAAAGGCTGTGTGGGGTGGAGGTGATTGTCCTGATGTGGAGGTGGACTCAGACTGCAGCCCCATAGGTGTGTCTGTGTGCTGAGGTTGGGAGGCCAGGGTGAGCTCAACACCAGGCTTTTTCTGCCAACAGTAAACAGGAATTGTTTGTTTTGACTAAAATAACCAGCCCGAGAGCCATTTTCTGGTTTGTGTTCACATCACTTTGGGAGCTTATTTCATTGAACATGGGTAGGAGACAAAACCCTAGCTGTCTGCACTGGCTGGTGGGGTGGCCATATTGTCAGGGCTCAAGTTTCTCTGGAGTCAGCCACCGTGGAGGGCTGACTCACAGGCAAGCTCTAGGAATGGGACAGTCCACCACAGAGATAGACTAAAGGAGGAAGGAAGGCAGAGAAGGGGGAATGGAAGAGAGGGTGGAGCGTGAGGAGAGCTGAAGTGCATCCTTCTTCAAAGAAGCACTTTAAAAAGAAGCAGGGCTGGCCAGGTGTAATTACTGTCTGTAATCCCAGCACGAAGGGGGCTGAGGCAGGAGGATTTCCATAAACTAGATGCCAGTATAGCAAATTCAAAGACAGCCAGAGCTACAGAGACCCTATCTCAAAGAATCAACAAGAAAAGAAGAGAGAGGGGAGAGAAGTGACAGGTTTTTCCCATGTGCTAGTTGACATGGCACAAGGCAGTGCCTTTCAGCACAGACTTTCGCATTCTTGCAAAACCTGAAAGTTGTATCTCATGCTTTTTATGCGCATGCCAACGCTCCCCCAATCAGGTGTCAATATGTCATTCTGCCCTCCTTTAACTCCACCCCTGTCAATTCCACATAAAGCCCAAGGTTTTTCTTTGTTCCCTTCAGAGGGTGCTTTTCATCTCTTTGGCAGCCCTCCCGTGCCTGCAATAAAGGCCTCTTCTTTCTTTCTCCATTCTCTTTCCTTTGTCTCTCTCTCTTACATCAGAACAAACAAGAAGAAAAGAGACTGAGAGAGAAAGAGAGAGACAGACAGAGAGAGAGACAGAAAGAAAAGAAAGAAAAAAAAAAAAGAAAGGAAGGAAGGAAGGAAGGAAAAGAGAGAGAGAGAAATGGCCTAGGGCAGGACAAAAGCATGAGCTGGCCTCTCTTTGCCCCCTCAGGGCAGAGCCCCAGTTTCACTCCTATAGTACCCTGCTTCTCACCCACCCCCCTTACCTCTCCCTGCTACTGCACCCCAGCCCATCCCTTCCCTGTTCCTGCTCACCAATACTCTGGATTTGAATCTTAACTTTCATCCTGCCCTGTCTGGACCTGGGGCTTTGGTTCAGGCCTACTATGTCCATTTCTGACCAGATTAAAGACTTACCCTCTGGAATTGCCTCAGTGTCACCCCAAAGGCAGAGCTGTTTATTATCCTCTCCAGTTTGAGACCCAGAGATAGAAGGAAGGGGCGTAGACTCCAGCCCTTCTGGGTAGAAACACAAACCATCTGGGTGTGACTTCTGTGATTGCCACCTACCCCCCCCCCACACACACCTTTTACCTTTATTCCTCTTCCCCTCCTGTATCAGGGACTTAAAGGCTGGGCCTGCAGATGCCCAATGAGTAACTGAAAACAGGATAAAGCTGGGCATCTCTGCCTTCATTTTATAGGTCTGCCTTATTTCCTTAAACTTGAGTTCAGGTGCCTGCTCAGTTCTATGTGTAAGCAGATAAGCCACTTAACAAATGTCTCTAGTACAAGGTTTATCAGCCCTAATTTTCCTGGACTATCTCAAGACTGAGGACACCATGATAAGACTAATTTTCAGATTTGCTGAGGCATCGAATTGACAGATTTTACAGGTCTAGCTCCAAGATCCTCTAAAGTGATGCCTAGAAGCCCTAGGCATTGTCCTAACCTACAATCACCATGGGATCCAGGAGAAGCAGAAGTTTGCAATTCCCCACCCCCCATGAGGTTCCCCTCAACCCAAGCAAGAACACCTGCCCTATCACTCCATTTCCAAAACCAGGGCTGCCTCCTACTGCAAAAAAGAATCACGTTGTCCCCTCAGGCAATCAGGAAATGTTGACTCTGCCTGTAGCTCACAGAACCAGTCCAGATACAGATCAACCAGTCTCTAACTTAACTAGGGTCACTTGCCCTACCATGCAAACCTATCCCTTGCCTTTGTTCCCCTTTTATATAAAGACCCAAAGGCAGATCTTGAATTTCTCTGTGCGTTCTAATACGGCCACCCAGGCCATGCAGATTAAAGCTCTTTTCCTGCCCTTCTCTACTGCAGAGAGACTGGCATAACAGGATGGATGTCTGAGCCTGATCTACTGGGACCCAAGAACAGAAGCCAGGGTTTTTGCCCCAGAACTCACATAGTACTGGCTCCCTCCTTGCCCCTCAGTACCTACTGCACACCGAGCCCACACTGAGGCCTGAGCCTAAGTAGCAGCGAGAGTGGTCTCAGTAGCCTTGACCAAGACCGGACTTGTCTAGGGAGTTATGTGTGCTGCCCTTGGGCAGACTGAGGTAGAGGTCAACAGGATGAGGCCTCTGAGCAAAGCCCTAGGAATGTTAGGAATCTGCTGCAGAGTGAAGCTCTGGGGAGGAAAGATGTCTTATTGATCCCAAAGCCCTAGGGGAAGGCCTCCATGCCTGCACATCCGTGCCTCATTCCTCCCACCCCTGGGCGGAAGAAAATCATCTTGCTTTTCTTCGCTTCCATTCCTCCCTCAGTTACGACTGTACTAGGGAAAGGGGTCTGAATTCAGCTCATCTCTGAGCAATTGAGAAGAACAGACTGGGTCATCCTGGCAGGTTTCCAGATAGCAGCAGCTCCCTGCCGCTGGCCATTAGCATTTATACTAGCAATGGGCTCTGAGGGTCAAGCAAACCCCAGAAACAAAAGGGGCCAAATGCAAGACACTGAGCACTGAGTTTCCATCTCCACCCGTCTGTTCCTCACTTGTAAAGTGCATCAGGACAAGCAGAGTATGTGTGATGAAACAATCCTAAGCCTCAGTAGCCACTGCTTGATATACACCAGGCCACCAGACTCATTGTCACTAGTGTCACCTGCTGCTGGGCTGGGCCTTCAGTGAATCAACTGCACCCTGAGAGACTGAAGCTTGGGTTTTACTGCACTGCTAATCTAGGAAGGATGAAGGAGAGAGGTAAGGAAAGGGGAGAGAGATGTTGGTATTCCATCTTTATGGCCACAGACGGCCACATAGCCTCAGGTGAGCCACTTTCTGGTTACCCTAACCCTGGAGACCCAGCTCTCTAGGCCCACATCCTGCCTCTGCCCCTGTAACTTTGGGAAAATTACTCCTCTCTCTGACTTCTATCTTGTAGGAATGTTGTATGAATTCCATGCAGTAA